AACTCTAGTCGAATCCATGAGTTTAAGTGCACCCAACCAAAGCAGCTGAAGCTGCGGGTGCTTATAGTATTTTGGTGTTTGGTATTGCATTTACACAGTATTTAAATCAAAATCCTGTCCTTGATGTTTGAAGCTGATCTTGGGGTAGCTTTCCCTTTCCTTGATAACTTAATGGATACCTACCATGACCTGGATCTGTCCCAAAAGTTTGAATCTTGCTGCATGATTGGTACCCAGTTTTCCAGTCTTTTTCAACTACCTGCATTAAATCTTGTAAATCGATGGCTTTTATATAATCAAACGCTTTTCCCCCTTATAATAAGTACATTGTTTAAACCAGATCTGTTTAATTATATCATGGTAATTTATTCTGTTTATTGAGATCTTTGATGCTAATTTCCTTCTTTGCTGATTTCTTCTGTTTTGCCTTGCTGAAACAATGCAATTTCACCTTCTTTTTTTTTATTATTAATTTACTGAGAACAAGGTGTCTCTCTATTCTGATCTCTCAAATGAAATTGGAATAATTCATTGATTATGATTATGAGCATTTTAATATCTTACTTGATATGTATTAACCATGAACAATAAATTGCTTCTAACTTTTGCAGATAATCAGTAATACTTCAAATCATGAAGTATAAGGATGAGAAACCAAGTTCCAAGCCCGACAAGGGTTTTCGGGCTTTGCCTACGACAATACTTGTTGTTCTACTCTGTGGATTTTCTTTCTATCTAGGTGGAATTTTCTGTTCCGAGAAAAACAAATATGTAGCTGGCAATGTCCAGGACTTGTCCAAATCTGTCCCTTCTCCAAAGGAAGTGACGGTGGTCCCTCTTCATATGAAAACTGTTTCCTTCCCAGAATGCACCATTGACTATCAAGACTACACACCATGCACAGATCCAAGGGTAATCCATTACCGTTTATTTAATGTTGTTTTGTTGTTATGTATGGCTTTGGTTGGAAGAGTTATTGATGATTTATGTTTGTTAATGCAGAGGTGGAAGAAGTATGGATATCACCGGCTTACCTTCCTGGAACGCCACTGTCCTCCCCTATTCGAAAGGAAGGAATGCTTGGTTCCTCCTCCAGATGGGTATAAGCCACCTATCAGATGGCCAAAGAGCCGGAACGAATGTTGGTACAGGTATTGTATATTTGTGTCTGCCTTAGAATTGAATGTCCAAATTTCTTTTATGTCGTGTTCATGGTTTTACATATGGATCTGATTTTAGGAATGTGCCGTATGATTGGATTAACAAGCAAAAGTCTAATCAAAACTGGCTGAGAAAACAGGGGGAGAAGTTCCTCTTTCCTGGTGGCGGTACCATGTTCCCCCATGGAGTTAGTGCTTATGTAGATTTAATGCAAGATCTCATTCCTGAAATGAAGGATGGAACAGTTAGAACTGCTATTGATACTGGATGTGGGGTGAGCTCCATTTTGCTTTTCCTGTGTTGTCAATCTTTCTGTTCCTTGACTGTCCTATGTAAGCAATCTACTACTAGTAAACTTTCTTGTCTGATGTCAGATCTTACCGAATTTACTTCTAGGTTGCTAGTTGGGGTGGTGATCTATTGGATCACAAGATTTTAACAGTTTCTCTTGCTCCAAGAGATAATCATGAAGCCCAGGTCCAATTTGCATTAGAACGTGGAATTCCTGCAATCCTTGGTGTCATTTCCACACAGAGGCTCCCTTTCCCCTCAGATTCATTTGATATGGCTCATTGCTCAAGATGCCTTATTCCATGGACAGAATTTGGTAATTGATTTTCCTGAACTCTTATTCCTTTAGAAATTTTAGACTTTAGATGAAAAGTTATGTTTCCCTTCTCCTGTTATTTGAAATTAAATGCCATTGTTCTCAATTTCCTTTCAGGTGGAATTTACCTCCTGGAGATTCACAGGATACTCCGTCCTGGTGGTTTCTGGGTCCTGTCTGGCCCCCCTGTAAACTATGAAAATCGCTGGAGAGGATGGAATACTACTGTGGAAGAGCAGAAGTCAGATTATGAAAAGTTGCAGGAATTGCTGACTTCAATGTGCTTCAAAATGTATGCCAAAAAGGATGATATTGCTGTGTGGCAGAAGTCTTCAGATACTAGTTGCTACAATAAGCTTTCTGAGCCAGATGTCTACCCTCCTCAGTGTGATGACAGCATTGAACCAGATGCAGCCTGGTACACCCCACTCCGCCCATGTGTTGTAGTTCCAGGCCCAAAATTGAAGAAATCAGGTCTGAAATCTGTCAAGAAGTGGCCTGAGCGTTTACATGTTGCACCTGAACGTCTTTCAGATGTTCCTGGTGGGAGTGCTGGTGCATTCAAGCATGATGACAGCAAGTGGAAGGTGCGAGCCAAGCACTACAAAAAGTTGCTTCCTCCACTTGGGACCACCAAGATAAGAAATGTTATGGACATGAACACAGCTTATGGAGGTTTTGCTGCTGCTGTGATTGATGATCCCCTGTGGGTCATGAATGTGGTCTCTTCTTATGCTGCTAACACTCTTCCTGTTGTGTATGATCGAGGGCTCATTGGAACTTACCATGATTGGTAAATCATTATACGAACCTTGAATCTTACTGAATGGATGCAATAGTGGCAACTTGCCCTCCATGATTTTGGAATATTTATGGTTTTTAATCCACTGCCCTATGTGTGTTGCAGGTGTGAAGCATTCTCAACATATCCTAGAACATATGATCTCCTCCATCTTGATGGCCTTTTCACTGCAGAGAGCCACAGGTACTAGGCATATGCTTCCTTTTGTTATGTTGAGATTCCATTTGTGAAATACATCTTGAATTTAGTCAGAATCGGATTTAGGTAATGCTTTCTGCATTAGACTTATTGAGGATCTGAAAAAATTTTCTTCACTGATCACAGGTGTGACATAAAGTATGTGCTCTTGGAGATGGACCGTATCCTTCGTCCCAACGGGTATGCAATAATACGAGAGTCCAGCTATTTTGTGGATTCTGTAGCTACCATTGCAAAGGGAATGAGGTGGGGTTGCCGTGTCGAAGATACAGAGTATGGAGTGGAGAAGGAAAAGATATTAGTATGTCAGAAGAAACTATGGTATTCCTCTAACAGCAGTTCAAGCTAACATCAGAAATTCAGGTGATGGCGATAAATTAAGCTCTTGCATGGTTTGAGTATAATCATTCTTCCAGAAGAAGAAGAAGCAAAAGTGAAGTTCCATACCTCATACAGAGATTAGATTTATTTCATAGAAGCCAAGAATGTCAAAATTCAAATTGATCAATTGATGAAATAGGCACCCAATAATATGATTTTGGTAATTTATAAATGTATTCTTGGAAAGGAATATGTCTATAAAAGGTTCTTGATTTTTGTATCAACTTTTTATTCACTTTTTCATATTTCTCCTCCAGGCGTCAGACTTCTTTGTATTGTGATTTTACCAAGTCCAAAGAAAATTTCCACCTTTGTTTATAACATTTCAGCCGAAAAGAGAAAAGGCTAGGTCCAATTATTTATGGGCTAAAAGAATTATATTCTGAAAGTTTATGGACTGGTCAAAGTCAGAAGTAATAATTAATAAATCCCAGAATCTTGCAAACCCAATCGAAAAACCAAGCCCATCAACCATCATCAACATTCAAAACAGATTTTTCATGTGCATTTTGGAGTAACCTGTCTTGTCCTTTTCCTTAGAAACCTAATTTTGTAGGACCTCTTTGGTTAATTGTTTGAATATATTTGGTAGATTTGATTGATAGTTGCTCTTCATAGTTCTAATATTCTTATTCATCTTTTTAGTGAACAACAAATGGATGGAGTTCGAGGCAGAAAAGATCATGACCTTTGATTGATGGGACCATTAATTAAATGGACGGTCATGAATTTTTTGCCCCACAGTCGACTTACAAAATCTGGCCCCCCAAATTAGTGCCTATGGCAGGTGCCAAGTAACATCGCATTTCGTTGGCTTGCTAAGGGTCAGTCTCCGTAGCATTTTTGCTATATTTGGGTTATATTTAATTTGGCAAAAACAAAGAGAAGAAATATTAAATACTATAGCAATGATATAAATAATTTAGTAATTTTTTTTTTTAAAAATAAAAGATTTTAAATTCAAATTATATGATATGTAGATGAGGTGAGATAAAAAATGAAAAATGATTATTTTTTATTATATAATTAAGATAAAAAAACTATTTAAAGTAATAAATTTAGCTGATATTTTGAGGGGAAATGGGTGGGAAGCCGGAGAAGGGCATAAAAAAATTTTCACAAAGCATTAAATTAAACAAATAATATTCGAAAAATTCCCAAAAATTTTGAAAATGGGTAGAAAGGACTTAAAAATCATTAAATTTTAAAAAAGAGTCTAAAAAATTCAGTTATACACGATATAGTACTGGTTTTTGGTTTTTGAACCCTAAAAACGATACCCATCCAATTGAGATTTGGTTATAACTAAAATTTATTAAAAAAAACTCTAACCCATCTAACTTGTCGATTTTGATTTCAATCGATTTCAATTTTTTTTTTCTATTTGTAATTTTTTTCCACCTACCCTTACTCCCTTCCGTCTAATTAATTCCTTTTAGCCAGCAAATA